CGACCAGCACCACTGCCGCCGCCACCTCCACCACCGCTGCCGCTGCCTCCACCACCTCCGCCGCTGCCTCCACCACCTCCACTGCCGCCACTGAAGCCCCCACTCCCGGTGCCACCTCCACCTCCACCGCCACCCCCTCCTCCTCCGCCACCACCCCCCCCGCCGCCCCCTCCACCACCTCTGCTCCCCTTGCCCTTGCTGTTGCGGCGTCTCCCACTCGGAGCAGACGCAGCCCCGACCTCCTCAGTGCCAACGAGGTCGACAGCAGCAGCAGAAGCAACAGAGGGGAGAAGGGGGACAGGGGAACACCCCTCAAAGAAACGGGTGCGACGGTCGCCGCGAGGAGCACCTACAGCTAAGATACTCTTCTCAGCTGCAGTAAGGCGCTCCTCTAGCAGGTCGACAGTCAGCTCGGTGGGGCAAAGGGAGAGGAAGTGATCCCTGACTGAGGAAAGTGAGTCAGGGAGGCGGGTGACTAGGTAGTAAAGGGTGATGTACATGCGGGGGGGGTTCTTGGCACAAAACTCAGTGGGAAGGGCAGCACGGTAGCGGGCGTCACTAGTGCGAAGGTGAGCAACTATGTCAGCGACTGTGGTAAAGGCGGCAAGGTCAGGGAAAAGGTACGGCAGCATGAGGCGGCTGAGGGCAGCAGTGGAAGGGGAGGAGTAGCGTGCAACTACAGCGTCGTACAAAGACTGAGCAGTCTTGTACTGGCCAAAGTGTGCGCGCTCAGCAGGCGGCAGGTGATTACGAATAGCAAGACGAGCAACAGCGTCACGAGTGGTCCACTGAGAGCGAACAGTACTGTCAGCAGTGGCAGCAGGAGCAGTGGAAGCACCGGACGTGTGATCGAAAAGAGATACCCCATCCCTAGAATCACACTGAAGAAACAGCTGTAGATCGTCAACCCACACGTCAAAGCCAACTGCACGTCCCTCAGCATCAAAGGTGAGAACGGTAGGACTAGCCATAGTAGCAGTAGGAGCAGTAGCAGTGCAAAGCAGTAGCAGCAGTCGAAGCAGTAGCAGCAGTGCTGCTCGACAGAGCAGTGCGGCTCGGTGGGGGCGGCGCGGCTCGGCTGAGCGGCGCGGCTCGGCTGGGCGGCGCGGCTCGGCTGGGCGGCGCGTCTCGGCTACTGGCGGTGCGGCAGCAGGGGGGGGGGGGAGGGGGGAGCACGAGTGCTTACCAGGGGCCGCTGTTGGGGCGGCAGTAGGGCAGGGCCAGGCCGACGGGCAGCAGGTCGGCGACTGGTGGCTGGTCAGGGACGGGCGGCTGGTCAGCGACGGGCGGCTGGTCAGGGACGGGCGGCAGGTCGGCGACGGGCTGCTGGTCAGGGACGGGCGGCTGGTCAGGCGACGGGCGGCTGGTCAGGGACGGGCGGCTGGTCAGGCACTGGCGGCTGGTCAGGTGACGGGCGGCTGGTCAGGGACGGGCGGCCGGAAAGGGGGGCCGTTACGGGCTGGAAGGGGGGGGGGCCGCAACTGGCTGCGAAGGGGCCGCGATGGGCCGCGAAGGGGCCGCGACGGGCCGTGAAGGGGCCGCGACGGGCCGTGAAGGGGCCGCAACTGGCCGTTAAGGGGCCGCGAAGGGCCGCAAAGGGGCCGCTACGGGCCGCAAAGGGGCCGCGACAGGCCGCGAAGGGGCCGCGACGGGCCGAGAAGGGGCCGCGACGGGCCGTGATAGGGTCGCGACGGGCCGCAAAGGGGCCGCTACGGGTCGCGAAGGGGCCGCGACGGGCCGTAAGGGGGGTCGCTACGGGCCGAGAAGGGGCCGATACGGGCCGCAAGGGGGGCCGCTACGGGCCGCAAAGGGGCCGCGAAGGATCGCCAAGGGGCCTCTACGGGCCGTGAGTGGGCCGCTACGGGCCGCGAAGGGGCCGCGAAGGGCAGGCGCGACGCGCGCGTCGGGCAGGTAAGGAAAAAAAAAATCGTTTTAGTGGTGGGCCCTTAGGAAAAAGTCGAACTAGCTCTATACCATGTGAGAATAATTGAGAATGAATGATTGAACTAGAAACGAGATGGGTACAAGTAGAGAACACAAAAGTGTTGTACCCTCTAAGAACTACCCCACTACAGCCTAAACAGACTATAGCAGATATAAGTTTGACATATTGCTCCCCTGAAATCACTTGGCAAAGGACTTTTTTCATCCTTGAAGCCACCACTTTCGCCAGGATCTTGTATGCGCTTGTCAGCAAAGTTATCGGCCTGTAGTTCCTGACGTCCGTCTCGTCGCCTTTTTTGTATAACAGGACCGTGACCGCCTCATTTGCGACCTCCGGCAGGTTCCCAGACACCATGAAATCTTTGACCATCTTCAACACGGGACCCTTCAACGACTCCCAGTGAACCTGATATAGCTCTTTAGGCAAGCCGTCCTTCCCAGGAGACTTGTCATTCGCTAATTCCTTTATCGCTTGCCTGACCTCCCTCTCTATCCAATCCCGTGTCAACTCTTCTGCCGATGCGTCCTCCAGCACTCTCCGCGGCGTCCACTGCAGCAGACGCTCCTCATCACCTTCTGCTGAGGCGACATCAAACGCCTCCCTGAAGTGCCTTGTGGCTTCATCCAGGACCGATTTCGCGTCGGAGTAGCTGACCCCGCCTCGCACCAGCTCCTTAATTCCCGTCTTTGCTTTCATGCTCTTTACCAGGGTTGAGAGCAGACCAGTCGGCGCTTCACTGTCAAGCTGCACCTTTAACCCCGTCCGTAAGTGCAGCAGATTCCTCCGGCCATCCCAGTACCTCTTCAACATTGCCTCACAAGTGGTCAATAAAGCCTGCAGCTCATCATCCCCCGGATCCGCCATGACCCTTTGCTGCAACGTATCCACCTGCACTTCTAACGCCTTCCGTGTCTGTCTAACCCTCTTCCTCCCTTCCTTATCATACTTCCGCAGGCGAGCGCTTAAACACCTCGACAGCTTGTCAAAGTCCACACAACTCCCTTCCCCCTGCTTCCGGACCACGTCGTCTATCGCCGCCTTTACCCCCGGTTTCTTGGCGAGCCTCGCCGGAAACCTCCACACACCAGGGCCAGTCTCCTGCGGTCCTCTCCACACGAGCCTCACCCGGACAGCGTACTTGTGATCCGTCATCCCCATCGGCAGCCACTGATGGGACGCCCTGGCCACCAAATGCATCAGCGATTGCGACACCAGCACCTTGTCGATCCTCGAGCTGACCTTCGCCGACCTGCAGTAGAAGGTAAATTGTCTCTCATCCGGATAGAACTCCCGGAAGACGTCCTTGACATGGAAATCGGACAGCGCTTCGTTAAAACCCGTGGGTCAAGAAGGCCAAATTTGGTTCATCCTTCCTAGTGTTGGTTGGATGTCCCAAAAACGCCTGTGATTTTCCCGAGTTTATAACAACTCATCTAGCAACTCCCAACCAACCTTCCTAAGGTTGAATATCTTGGCCTGCGGGTTTTAATGAGTAGAGAGTGTGAAAGGATGATTCTATTGAGCCAACGTTACAAAGCAGCATATTCTCTGATTTTTGTGGCAGCTCGCAGCCAACTTTCGCTTTATCAAAAGGACTGAACTGAGCACATTTGTTTCGCCTGCCTCGCCACCTTCGCCACGGGCCACTGGACCACAAGAAACGGAAAGTGTTTGCCAGATCCCCACTCAGGCAGGGGGGGCTCCTATCGGTCTTGTGTGATCAAGTGCTATGGAGTACGTTAAATAGTTTTTTCGCGACTACCAGTCAGGACAAAGGTTGGGTCGAATGTTTGTGTGTTGTTTGGGTCTCGTTGCTCCGCGTTCCACGGGTTTCGCGAAGTCGCTATTGAAGCTGATCCGCATTTCGAAAATGGTTACCAATGATACGAGTTTTGGAAATTCAGCAGATTTTGCGATTCGAGGAACGCGTTCGGCAATGGCGTCAATCAAATCCTCTTGGCTTCTGTTTCGGAAATATCTGTCATGAAATCTCTCCATATTGGCAGCTCATCCTGCGGAACTTGTTCTGAGACCACGTAGTCTCCTACCGATTCATCTACGTCATTAGTCCTTCTCTCAGCCACTTGAATAGGGAAAATTGCACATTCCAATTGCCAAACTTCCGCGCATCGAATAAACTCTCATTTCTCCCAGTCCTCCAAGCACCAGTAACGCGGGCCATTCGCCCCGTCCTCCTGCGTGGATCATTAAGGAAACCGCAAACCTCGACATTGCAGAAGAAATAGCAGTCACGACCAGGCACAACGCTCTTTTAGAATTCGAGAACGACCCCTTGAAGCCATTCTTGATCAAGACGGAGAGCCGTTGATTCCAGTACACTCCTTTCGCTGCATCATGTCGGGAGCGCAGCGCCAGATGTCAATACCACCAGCAACTACTATGCACGAGGCGCCTCTAAATCCGCACCGCCAAAAGTCGATGACCGCGATCGCGACGGTAGCGAGGCGGCGACGCGGATCGTCAAGCGCTTCGTCGTCTCCTTCTGCGACCGCCGGTAATGCTTGGGGGGGGGGGGCTGCTGCCACCACGGTGACGCGTGGAGGTGGCATGAGTCAGGCTGTGGGCTGGTAGCTCCGATGGTACGATGATTCTAGGCCAATGTGTGGTGGTGGTAAAATGGTTCAGGTGGTGGGCTGTGAGGACGTGGTCGAAATGACAGATACTATCTCCACCTGGGTGGTGTGCACCTTTTGCGAAGGCGTTATGGTGAGCCTTGAGCGCTGAGACCTATTCTGATGATATGGTAGGAAAAGACGAATTTGCTTGAACATTACATCCCCACACCCACGGGCGGCCCGCATGTCCCCCATCACTCCCACCGCACGTCGCCCGCATCTCACCCACGCGCCCCACCAACTCAATCGCCTATCTGGTTCCCCCATACGCCCCCAATCGCCATCCCACCCCCGTGCCTACCGCCATGCGCGCGGCAGCATGGCGATGGGGGCAGCAGGGCGCGCTTACAGCGGCGCTGCTGGCGGCGGTGGCTGTGGCGGTCTGCGTGGCCTTCCTGCACCTCGCCTGGCACCGACGCATGGACGCATTGCTGCAGGTATGGCCCCTCCCTTCCACCTCCCCTGCTGCAAGTATGACCCCTCCTTTCCTCCTCCCTGCTGCAGGTATGGCCCTTCCTTTCCTCCTCCCTGCTGCAGGTATGGCCCCTCCTTTCCTCCTCCCTGCTGCAGGTATGGCCCCTCCTTTCCTCCTCCCTGCTGCAGATATGGCCCCTCCTTTCCTCCTCCTTGCTGCAAGTAACTTACTTGAAGGCCTCTCCCCTCACACACACTCTTCTCACGTGTCTTTCCCCACCTCGCCTCGCATCGCCGCATGGACGCTCTTCTGCGGGTACGACGCCTTGCATTGCCTGAATCGCCTGAATCTCTCCTTCTACACACTACTTTCAAGTGGCCTTTCTGCACCTCGCCTCGCACCGCCGCATGGACGCGCTGCTCCAAGTAAGGGCCCTCTTTTCCTCCCTGCTCCTAGTAAGGCTCCCCCTTTCACACACGCTCCTCCCACGTGGCCTTCCTCCACCGCTGCATGTTCGCCCTGCTGGAGGTATGGCCCCTCCCTTGCACCTCAGGTATGGCGCCTAGCGGATACGCATTCGCACCTCCTTGCACTCTTCCCCACCTCGCCTCACACCGCCGCATGGATGCGGTGCTGCAGGTGTGGCTCCTCTCTTCCACTGCCCCTGCTGCAGAGCACACATGCATGCATAAACCCCGACAGCAGAGCACACATGCATGCATAAATCCCGACAGCAGAGCACACATGCATGCATAAACCCCGACAGCAGAGCACACATGCATGCATAAATCCCGACAGCAGAGCACACATGCATGCATAAACCCCGACAGCAGAGCACACATGCATGCATAAACCCCGACAGCAGAGCACACATGCATGCATAAACCCCAACAGACCACCACACATGGACGCATAAACCCCAACAGACCACCACACATGGACGCATAAACCCCAACAGCAGACCGCACGTTTATGTGTGAACCGCAACCTGTTTCTCCCTTCTCTCCTTTCTTTGTTCAAGCGGTGTTACAGTGACCGGCACCACATTCTCCCATCACCTCATCCCCCCTCATGTGCTCCCAACCCCTTAACCCTCCCCACCTGTCCCCATCCCTCCCCACCCGTGCCCATCCGTCCCTCGCCACCTGTGCATCAGCAACTGCAAGCCCTGCAGCCGTTTGGGCTGGCGGGTGCCTCCCTGGCAAGTGCTGCACTGACAGGCGGGATTCAGGCCGGTGCTGCTGCCCTGACAAGTGCTGCCATGGCAGGCGACATGCAGACGGGATTCCTGCAGGCATCTGCCATCCAAGGAGCAGCGCTGCAGAGCTTCCGGAGTGGCAGCAAAGGGGAGGGAGACAGCAGCAGTAGCACCAACAGCGACAACATCAGCTCCACACACACACGGCAGATGATTGTGAGTCTCACAATTGACATTCGCGAAATTGTGAGACTCACAACATTCAGCTCCACACACACACGGCAGGTGTTGGGGGGGTCAAAATTTCGCGAAATTGACATTCGCGACGAAAGCGCGAATGTCAGTTTCGCGCTGGGCAATTTTTTTTCCCGGTCAGCCCGAAAAAAAAAACGGCGAGCGTCCTGCGTCCCTGCGTCTTTTGCAATGTGAGAGTCTTCATTTCCTTTCATGCACATAAAAGGATATTGTTCTTCCGTTTGATGATTCGACCCATGTGAAACGTGCCGTTCAAAGGATCTGGTACTTGCCATGCCACGTCATGTTGTATTCCAATCGTGGAACATCCAGCCCCTTCCTCTTCTCTCTACCACTCCCAACTTCCCTATGCGTCCTCCTTCCTGCTCTCGCCACTCCCATCCCTACTCTAACCGCTCCCTTTGAGCTCCTCTTCCCGGCTGGCAGGGCAAAAGGGGCGGCCAGGCGGAGGGCGTGGGGGAGCAGGGTTGGCCGGTGATGGGGGGAGTGAGGTGGAGGGGGTGTGCGGGGGACGGGGACGCATGCCACACTGCCTCGGGTGGGTTCCCTGTGGTGCGTGGGTGCTGGCTGCGTGGGTGCGTAGATGCGTGGGTGCTGGGTGTTGCGTGCTGGGTGGGGTGACTGCACACAATTGGCGAGGTGACTATTGAGTTGACTCACGAGTCACCACACTAACACAGCGCACTCCTCCGCGGTTGCTGAGAGTGAAGACCACTCTCACACATCACACCCCTGAGCCCTCAAATTCCCAACCACTGTGTTTTTGCACCCATCCTCACACCATCACACCCCTGAGCCCTCTCTCCCCAACCTGTCCATCTGAACTGCGGAAATGCACTCTCGCATCCCCATCCCTCCCTTCCCCACCCCCTCCTGTCTAACGGTATACATCTGTGCCGTGCATGCATCCAGCTAGTCCAGCAGGCACAGAGGACCGGGGCAAGGGGGAGGCGGAGGGGGAATATCTGATGGTGCAGCTCCGAGGGGGGCTTAACCAGATGCGCGCAGGGGTGAGTGGGTGCAGGGGTGAGTGGGCTCAGGGGTGAGTGTGCTCAGGGGTGAGTGGGGCAGCAGAGACAGCCCCCACTGGCCTATCTGCTTCCCCCCACTGGCCTATCTGCTTCCCCCCACTGCCCTATCTGCTTCCCCCCACTGCCCTATCTGCTTCCCCCCACTGCCCTATCTGCTTCCCCCCACTGCCCTATCTGCTTCCCCCCACTGCCCTATCTGCTTCCCCCCACTGCCCTATCTGCTTCCCCCCAATGCCCTATCTGCTTCCCCCGACTGCCTGTTTACGAGTGACCTTTTTTCGAATTTTTACGTTTCCAGTGGCCTCTCTTCCAACGAAGCTGCTGCAGCCGCCATCGTTTATCTCCCCACCCCGTCCTCCTCCCTGTCCTTCCCCCTCTCTTCATCTCCCCCGTGGTGGTGGCGAGGATGCTGGCGCCATCCCCCCTTCATCTTCCCACCCCGTCCTACCCCCCTGCCTTCCCCACCCCCCATCCTCACCTGTATGCTGGCAGATCTGCGATGCAGTGGTGGTGGCGAAGATGCTAGGGGCGACCCTGGTGCTGCCGCTGCTTGATAACTCCTCCTGGTGGGCTGACGGCAGGTGAGGAACTCGCTGGGGGGTGATGGCACGATGGTAGGTGAGGCACTTACTGGGGAAAGAAGGCATGATGGCATGCTGTCTGTTTGGTTACTCCTCATGGTTAGCTGATGCCAGGTGAGGCTAATGGCAGGTGGGGCTAATGGCAGGTGGGGCTAATGGCAGGTGGGGCTAATGGCAGGTGGGGCTAATAACAATCACTGGGGTGAGAGCGTGTGTTTTTTTAGAATTCTAAAAAAGCACACGTTTTTGAGAATTCTAAAAAAACTAATGGCAGGTGGGGCTAATGACACTCACGGGGGTGAGACACTCACCGGGGTGAGACACTCACTGGGGTGAGACACTCACCGGGGTGAGACACTCACCGGGGGTGAGACACTCACCGGGGGTGAGACACTCACCGGGGGTGAGACACTCACCGGGGTGAGACACTCACGGGGGTGAGACACTCACCGGGGTGAGACACTCACGGGGGTGAGACACTCACCGGGGTGAGACACTCACTGGGGTGAGACACTCACCGGGGGTGAGACACTCACCGGGGGTGAGACACTCACCGGGGGTGAGACACTCACCGGGGTGAGACACTCACGGGGGTGAGACACTCACCGGGGTGAGACACTCACGGGGGTGAGACACTCACCGGGGTGAGACACTCACGGACCTGCCCCCTGCCGTGCTTACTGTGCCCAAAGCCTGCCTCCGGATCCCCACCCCCCCCCCCCTCTTCCCTCCAAGCAGCACCTTCTCCGATGTGTTTGACGCGCCTCACTTCATCCGCACCCTCGCCCCCTCAGTGCGGGTGGTGCCACGTCTACCTGCCACGCTGAGGGACCTGCCCCCTGTGGTGCGCACCGTGCCCAAAGCCTCCTCGCCGGACTACTACCTCAAGCATGTGCGCCCCCTCCTCAGGTAGGTGGGGTGGGGAACTGTTGGTTTTTCCCTCAGTCCGTGTGGTGACGCGCCTACCCAGTGCGCTCAGGGACTTGCCTCCAGTGGTGCGCATGGTCCCCAAAGCCTCCTCTCCTCGCCCCACTACTATAACAAGCACGTGCACCCACTCATCAGGTGGGCGCAGGTCTGCTGGGTCGCCATCCATTCTCAGAATGCTTCGCCCACTCTTAAAGGCGTGCACTTCATTTGTACTAGTACATCCATTTGTACTATTACTTTCATCCATCCTCCTCCAGTGGTGCGCACGGTGCCCAAAGCCTCCTCACCAGACTATTATCTGAAGCACGTGCGCTCCCTTATCACGTGGGTTGGGGGCTGCTGGGCCGTGTGATTTCCGCTCACCATTTTCTCTTTATGGACTCTTCCAATCCCTTTCACTGCACATTACTCCCCTCCACTCCCCTTCCTCCTTCCTGTCCCTCTCTCCCCTTCTCTCCCTGCCCAGTTCTTCTTCCTCCAACCCCTCACCTTCTCCCCCAACACCATCGCATCACAGGAGGGCGCAGGTGCTGAAGCTGAACCATTTCATTTCAAGCTCAACTATAGCCTCCCTGCAACAGCTCTCCTCTGTTTGAGCCCACTCAAACTATTTCCCCCCTCTCTTCTTCCCCCCCTCTACCTACGTCACAGGATAGCGCAGGTGCTGAAGCTGAACCACTCCAAGTTGAAGCTCAACTATAGCCTCTCAGCAACAGCCTCTCAGCAACAGCCTCTCTGCAACAGCTCCTCTCTGCAGCAGTCTCTCAGCAACAGATTCTCTTCAATTACACTTCCAATCCCATTAGCTTTATTCCTCATCGTGGCCCCACTTCTCGCCTCCCCTCCCTCTTCTCCTCCCCATGCGAGATCACACCACAGGAGGGCGCAGGTGCTGAAGCTGAACCATTTCAAGTTCAAGCTAAATTACAGTCTCCCTGCACCCCTGCAAAAGGTAAGAGGAGCATCAAACGTAACCAGGGGCTCGCAGACACCCATACACCGCAAGGCACATGCCGTTCTAAGTTCCTTTTGAGTTCGCACACTCTTTAACTTCACACAATTTTTGACTTCACACACTCTTTTACTTCACACACTCTTTGACTTCACACCCCTCTTTGACATCACACAACATTTATTTTCATGCAATTTGTAGTTCACACATTTTTACTTCACACAATGTCACAGAAACCGGCTGAGCTGTCGACTTTGGTGCGTTCAAGGTTTAGTGTAGAGTATACCCGTGTCGGGTCTCCTCTCTTATCGGCCTCTTCGGGCCCCACAATAGCTGTGGGGGGGCCTCTTAGGGGTTTAGTGTAGAGTATACCCGTGTCGGGTATCCTCTCTCATCGGCCTTGTCAGGCCCCCACAGTAGCTGCACTGTTGAGGAAACCGCAAGCTGCTCTTGGTGTTGACTTTCAGCATTCTCAAAAGCAACACCTCCACAGAATCTGAAGTGTTGAGAAGACCGCAAGCTGCTTTTGAATCAAATCGGAAGCCATTTTTCTCCCCCTGCACTGCATTCCCTGCCACTTTGCATTCCCTGCCACTTTGCCTACACTTCCCCTGCCCACTCTCTGCCGCCCTCCCCTTTCTAACCAGCTGCGCTGTTGAGCCAACTACGAGGCACTGCGCTTCGTGCCACAGTAACTCGAGCCATCCCCCCTCCTCCCCTCTTCCACCCCCTTCCCCCAAACCCCCCTCCCCCACCAGCTGCGCTGTGAAGCCAACTACGAGGCACTTCACTTTGTACCGGCAGTCACTCAAGCCATCGCCCCTTTCCCCCACCCTGCCACCCCCCCGTGTACCAACCCCCCCTTCCTCCCTCTCCCCCACCCCCTCCCCACCAGCTGCGCTGTAATGCCAATTACGAGGCACTGCGCTTCGTACCAGCAGTCACTCGAGCCGTTGCCCCTTTTCCCCACCCTGCCATCCTCCCTCCCATCCACCACCCCTCCCTTACACCCTCCCACCCCCACCCCACCAACAGCTGCGCTGTAAAGCCAACTACGAGGCGCTACGCTTCGTGCCGGCAGTCACTCAAGCCGTCGCCCATCTCACCCACGCCCTCACCCACCCCTCCCCCCTCGCCGCCTACGCTTCCATTTCCCCTGGCGCTCCTGCTGCTGCTCCTTCTGTTGCTTCGTACTCTGCCTCTGCTGCCGGTGCTGGCCCTGCTGCTGCTGCGACAAGCTGCGGTGGTGAAGAGGCCGGGCATGGAGCACAAGAGCAAGCGGCACAGATGGGGCAGAGGGAGCAGAGGGAAGCGATGGGAGGGACGGGAGGGATGGCGGCAGAGGGGAGTGGGGAGGCAGTCAAGTATGTGGCGCTGCACCTGAGGTGAGATGGGCATCCACTCATCCACTCATCCACTCATTATGCTTCTATTCATAAACATCTGCGAGGTGGGATGGGCATGGCAGGTCGGTTGGGCATGCTGAGCTTTGTGACTCTTGAATATCCACGTACATTAAAAAAATTGCTGTTACCGCTGTAATTTCTGATAAATGTTGCACCATGCTGCCACCTTGTTTGACTCACGTATCCACCGCAATTCCCTAGCCATGCTACTGAACTCTTACTCGCAGAAGCAGACTCTCATGAAACAGATCACTCTCATTCAGCAGCTGACTGAAGGAGAATATGCCTTCTATATTTCTTTCGCTTAGTACACATACGAAGATTCACTTACAATAACCCCTCCATCCCATGCATTCACCTCTCTGCATGCCATCCCATGCTCTACCCGCCATGCACCCGCCACATGCCATGAGAGAGCAGGTACGAGCCTGGCATGCTGGCATTCACGGGTTGTGACTATGGCGGAGGGGGGAAGGGAGTAGGCAATACCTTAACCTCCATGATCACCCCACATCCCTGCCTTGCAGGTACGAGCCTGACATGCTCGCATTCACTGGGTGTGACTATGGCGGAGGGAGAAAAGAGAGGAGGCTGCTTGAGGGGATCAGGAAGCGATGGCCAGAGCTTCCCAGACAGAACCCCAAGCAGCAGAGAGCCAAGGGAAAGTGCCTCGTCACTCCCTCGCAGGTGTGTTTTGAGTCGACTTGAATGATGGGCGAGAGGAGGGTGTTTGAGGGGATCGGGAAGAGGTGGCTGGAACAGCCCCGATTGAACCCCAAGCTGATAAGGGCCAAGGGCAAGTGCCTTGTCACTTCACTTTTCCCCAAGCGATTGTTTCAACCATTCCTATTCCCCACCCTGCCCCTTCGTATACTCGAAACCTTCTCACCTCTCATCTCAGCTCTACATCTTGCAGGTGCCTCTCATATACCCCCCTTCCTCCCCTCCCCACCCACTTCCTCCCCTCCCCACCCACTTCCTCCCCTCAACTCCCTTGTTCTCCAGGTGGCAGTGGCCGTACAGGCAATGCATCACATGGTCCTTCATCCACCCCTCGCCCTCGCTTCTACCCCTTCTCCATGCCCCTCTACATCAACTTGAGTCACCTGCATCACATGGCCCTTTAGCCCCCCCTCTCCGTCCCTTTCATGTTCCCAGGTGGGAATGGCGCTGCAAGCCCTCGGCTTCCCCCCTCAACCCATCTCTACATCGCCTCAGATGAGCTCCACGAGGGGGGGGGGGGGGGGGGGGGGGGGGCTCTGTTCTGCGCCTGAAAAGCACTCCCTCGCTTGCTTCCTGTCTCCCTTTTCTGTCCCCCCTGTTCCCCACGTGGCAGTTTCCCTACAAGCCTTGCCCCCCCCCCCCTTCACCCGCCTCTACACTGCCTTGGGTAAGCTGCACAGGGGGGCCTCCGCACCACGGCCTCTGGTCAACGCCTTCCCCCACTCCCCCCTCCCCGTCTCCTTGTTTCCCAGGTGGCACTAGTGCTGCAAGTCCCGGGCTTCCCCCCTTCAACACACCGCTACATCGCTTCGGGTGAGCTACATCACATGCTTCTTTCTCCTGCCTCATTCTTTCCCACCTCTTTTTCTTGCCTCGTCTCATCCTACGTCAGGTGGCAGTGGCCCTACAAGCCCTTGGCTTCCCTTCGTCAACTCGCCTTTACATCGCCTCGGGCGAGCTCCACGGGGGGCCCTCCGCCCTGCTTCCCTTACTCAAGGCCTTCCCCTTTGCCACCGACAAATACTCCCTCGCTCGCTCCCTCGCTCCTGCTAGGGGGAAGGAGGGCAGGGTGGCCGACAGGGATGTGTCAAGCGGTGCAGGGGGAGAGAGTGGAGCAGCGAAGGGTGCAGCTGTAGAGTGGGGAAGAGGGGGCGATGGGGGAGGGGGAGTAGGAGGAGGGGTATTGGAGGGGCTGCAAGGGAGGAAGACGCTTCTAGCGGCGGTGGACTATGAGATGTGCCGGCGAGGGCACATGCTGGTGCTGAATAACAACGGCAACATGGCTCACCTGCTCTCCGGTCACAGAAGGTGCGGTTTAGGGTGGTGCGCAAAGGTGTTCCAGGGCTGGGACGGGTGGGAGGAGCAGGTTGTTGGCGTGATGGGGGGGGGGTGATGCTCCTAACGGAAGTGGACTATGAGATTTGCCGGTGAGGGTACATGCTGGTGCTCAGCAACAATGGCAACATGGCGCACCTGCTCTCCGGGCATAGAAGGTGCGGTTTAGAGCGGTGGGCTACGGTTTCTAGAGGTTGGGAAGGGGGGGCAGGCATATGCTGGTGCTGAACAACAACGGCAACATGGTGCACGTGCTGGCCGGGCACACAAGGTGCGGTTTAGTATGAGGGGCAATGGATGTCGAGGGGGTGGGAGAGAGCAGCAGGCAGATGCTGGTGCTGAGCAACCATGGTGCACCTGCTCGCTGGGCACAGAAGGTGCGGCGAGGGATGGGGGGGGATGGGGGGTGGCAATGGGTGTTGAGTTGAGGGGGGGAGAGGTGGGGGCAGATGCTGGTTGTGAGCAGCAATGGCAACATGGCACACCTGCTTGCTGGGCCTAGAGTGGTGGGCAATGGTATGGTGGTGAGGGGGTGGGAGACGGGGGCAGATGCTGGTGGTGAGGGGGTGGGAGACGGGGACAGATGCTGGTGCTGAGCATCAATAGCAGCATCTGCTTGCAGACCATTGCAGGCAGAGCCGTGTTGGAATCGTCAAAAGCACTTCCATCCCTTTCAGTCACCCACCTTCACCCCCCTCCCTCCTTCCTTCCCACCAGGCACAGCCGTGTTGGAAGCACAGTGCAGGTGTTTTGCTCATCAGAGGCGCGTTTGCCCCATTCAGTTACCGCCTCAGTCCCCAACCCCCTAACTCCCACCAAGTTCTAATGTTATTGGCGGCACGGTGCAGCTATTTTTTTGTCGACTAAGAAAATACCGTTTCAGTCCCTAATCCCCTACCTTCCCACCAGGTTCTATGGTATTGGCGGCACGGTGCAGCTGCTTGTGGCTCCATCATGCTCCTTTGGAAGCATCAGAGTCACTTCTTTCCTTTCCATACCCCCCCTCAAACCTTACATATCCACTCCACCTCCCCGCCTCTCCCCCCCTCCCCCTCCCACCTTCAAACCAGGTACGACGGGGTGGGCGGCATGGTGCAGCTGCTTCTGGCTCCTCCATTCTTCTTCGGAATTATCAGAAGCACTCATTGCCCATTCAATCACACCTCTTACCCTTACACCTCCGCCTTCCCCTCAGGTACGATGGGGTGGGAAACACGGTGCAGCTGTTTGGCTCCTCCATCCTCCGCCTCCTCACAGCCATCCAGCAAGGCGATGCCAAGAGCTCCCACAAGCTGCGCAACCAGACGCTCAGGGGAGACGACAGCAACGGGAAGGCCGCAGTGAGAGGAGGGTTCTACTCGTTTCCCTGGGAGTGCTTGTGTGAGAGATCGGATCATGAGCCTGCCGGTATTTATTCATGAGGCCATGTTTGTGTTGGTCAAAGCAGAGGGGAATGGTGCAAAGGCAGAATGACTGGCCAGATGCGGATGTGTATTAAAAGACCAAAGCGCTTCAGTAAAGTCCTGATTTCCTGTATATGTATGAAACCAATTGATCACTTGGATTGGAAACATGTACCGTATGTACAATAAAACACATACCTATGTACTATTATCGTTGCGGTGGCCCGAGTTGGTGGAGCTATTAATACTGGTACGGGGTGCAGATTTATATCAGTTAGGCACATATCTGGCGTGGCCAGAATCTTGGAAAACATCATTTAAGCTGAATATGTATCACAAGTGTGGTGTGGTGCAAGTGAATCGTGTACCAGTTATAAAAGATACACTGCATCAATTTCAGAAATAAACATCTCACAATAAGATCACGGGGCAGGCAGGGAGGTATGGGGCAGGCATGGAGGCAGGGAGGTATGGGAAAGGCAAGGAGGTATAGGGCAGGCAGGGAGGTATGGGGTAGGAAGAGAGGTATGGGGCAGGCAGGGAGGTATGAGGCAGGCAGGGAGGTACGGGACAGGCGTGTCAGACAGCAATCATATCAGTGGGACAAGAACATGTTGCAGCGGCCGTCACATGGATAAGCATATGCGCACAGAAAAGCCCACGCCCATGCCCAAGCACGGGGCACAGGGAGTGTGCACTCAGCTCACCCAAATCCCACGCTAATGCTCACCTCGTTTCTTTGTGTTTCTGCTGCTGTTTACACTGCCGGCTATTTCAACCTGCACTGTCCTACTGCTGCGGCTATTTTCAGCTATTGCTTAAACTTCCAGTGCTGCTGTGTGATGCTAAGGGTGGGTATGACGAGGTGCTTTGGTGGCAGTGAGTGAGACTCCATGTAAGCACGAAAGCACACACCAGCATTCCCTTCCGGCCTATGCCTCCCCTACACCAACGGCAAATGTCTGCTTGAGCAGTCACTCAAGAAATGTCTTAAGCTCAGCCTCACACACATTCCGCTCAAGTGTGCCTCACTCGCCCAGTACCACCCACATGGTGCCATCTCTGCCAAAGGCTGGCCTCCCTGGCCAACGCACTGCCGCTTCAGAAGGTCAGGAGAAAAGTGAGACTTGATTTCCGTTGACTCACCTAAACTGACCGCAATTTCTGACCAGAGAAATAAATGACCCCACACCGCGTGCTGCTCACCTCACTCTCGGAATCCAGGCCATCATTCCATTGGTTCTCCTCCATTGCGGAAAGCTCCTCCTGTATGAGCACAAAGCCAGGAATCCAAAAGGCCACACGTAAGGTTGAAGTCAAGAGCATACGTCGAAGGATTGAGCGCATTGCAATCGAGCATGGCGTTCTCACCTGCAGGCGCTCCACATCTCGCTGCAGTGCAGCGACGCCCCTCTCCGCTGTGGCTCTGCGATCGGTCTCGTCATGCGCCACCTGCGCCATATGGGCAGCCGCTTCCCGTTCCACACGGAGCTCCGCCTCCAGCTTGGCAATCTGAAAAGCAATGGGGGGGAGAGCATGGATGGCATCGGATCTGATGGACCCTCAGCCATCGCCCTCATGGACCCCCAGCCATCGCCCTCATGGGCCTCCTCTCTGTCCTGGAGGCCTGAGCCTGAACTGGGGTCACGACAGCAGCACCTCCCCCCTTGGAACCCCCCTGAGCCAGCCACTCCCGCAAAGAAACCTCCCCGACCCTTCACAAGCCCATAATACCAAGTTTGTCCTTCCTATGGCATCCTCCCTGCCCATGCGGAGAACTTGCCGTCCGATTTGAACTCAAGTAGCTAGACAACTCCCCCGCCTCCTATCTTTCCCCACCATTCCTTTACTTAGACCCACCATACCACTCACCAGGCGGGCTTAGCTCGTTGCATAGGTTGCCATACACAATATAACTTTTCCCCTTTCACCCTTACCTCTGATGTTCCTCTTTTATTCAATGACAATGACCGTTCAGGAGATAGGAAGAAGGGGGGAGAGGCAGATAGGCATTAAGATAAAGAGGCAGAGAGGAAGAGATGCAGTGTAGTAGAACGGTGGAAGGGTAACGAGGTTTTCTGCCACTCAGCGTATTCTTCTTCTCCGCAATTGCAGCTCGATGCAACTTCATGTGCCGTTCGAATTCTGAAACTTCTTCCTGAAACTGGTAAGTGCAACAATGAGGGCGGAGAGAGAGGGGTAGGTGAAAGCCGCCATCTCCCTCTCCCCCTGCAGCACCTTGATGCCCACCTGCGTCTGCCCGTCTGCTGCTGTGGAGAATACCTGATAGCAATAAGAGAGTAGACGGGAGGGAACGCAGTGACAGGGAGATTAGACGCCATCTCCCTCCCCCCCCGGAGCACCTTGATGCCCACCTAAGTCTGCCCGCCCGCCGCTGTGGAGAACACCCGATAGCAATAAATAAGAGAGTAGACAGGAGGGAACGCAGTGACAGGGAGATTAGACGCCATCTCCCTCTCCCCTTGGAGCACCTTGATGTCCACCTGAGTTTGCTCATTCGCCGCTATGGAAAACACCCGATAGCAATAAAAGAGTAGACGGGAGGGAACGCAGTGACGGAGATTAGACGCCATCTCCCTCCCCGCCCTGGAGCACCTGATGCCCTCTTGCATCTGCCCATCCGCCGCTGTGGAGAACACCTGATATCAATAAGAGAGTAGATGGGAGGGAATGTAGTGACAGGAAGATCAGACGCCATCTCCCTCTCGCCTAGGAGGACCTTGATGCCCACCTGCGTCTGCCCGTCCGTTGCTATGGAGAACACCTGATATCAATGAGAGTAGACGGGAGGGAACGCAGTAACAGGGAGATCAGACGCCATCTCCCTCTCGCCTTGGAGGACCTTGATTCCCACTTGTGTCTGGCCATCCGCTGCTATGGAAAACACCTGAAAAAAGGAGGAGATTTTGGACGGGAGGACGGGAGGAGGGGCAGAGGAGAGAAGGGGAGAGGGGAGAAATCGGGGCGGGAAACAGAGGGGAGACAGTTGAAGTGTTCACAATGAGTGACGTCGTAACAAGCAAAGAATCTGCGAGGGCAGCAACGTAGTGAGGAGCTTCAGTGAGAGAGCGAGTGATGGAGTAACCTGTGGGGAAGGGGAGAGAGAGTTGGACGAATGGGAGAAACGGAAAGGAGACAGTTGAAATGTTGACAATAAATGATGTAACAAGTAGAGAAGCCGCGAGGGCAGTGGCGTATTGAGTAGCTTTAGTGAGAGAGCGAGTCATGATGCAACCTGTGGGGGAGGCAAAGATAAATGGGGAGATAAAAAAAATCGTTGCGTGATGCAACAAGCAGAGTAGTAGCATACGGTTCTTCAAACAATTGTTAACAGGGGTAAAATGAATCATCTCGATGTTTACAGGACAGGCACTATTGTCGCGCACGGGCAACAGGGAGTGGTACCGACGATTGCACGGCGTGATCCATGGAGTAATCTCATATCGTGCTCACTGGTGGCGGGAAGGATCAAGGATGCAATTGTCAGAATGTTATAGTGCTTACTTTGTGTAGGTTGTAGTGGGGTAGCCCATAAGGGTTACAACCCAATAAGGGTTAGTACTTCTACCAAACTTTCTGCTCAATTCAATCATTCTCGTTCATTCGTTTAACATGGTTTCATAGCAGGTCCTTCGTTAGGACCGTTTTTTTTCAGGGCCCACCACAGCGCTGCCCCACTAGCCGCCCTGCTGGCTCACGCGCCGCCCTCAGCAGCCCTCGTGCTGCACCTGCTGCCCTGCGCGCCGCCCCTTTCCGGCCCGCCCGTCGACCTAGGCCCCACGCGCCCGCCCTTTGCGGCCCGCCCGTCTACCCTAGGCCCCGCGCGCCCGTAGCCCCTAGGCCCGGCCCGCCCGTCGACCCTAGGCCCCGCGCGCCTGTAGCCCCTAGGCCCGGCCCGCTCGTCGACCCTAGGCCCCGGCCCGCCCGTCGCCCCTGCTGCCCCACGCGCCCGTCGACCCTAGGCCCGGCCCGCCCGTCGACCCTAGGCCTCGGCCCGCCCGTCGCCCCTGCTGCCCCGCGCGCCCGTCGACCCTAGGCCCGGCCCGCCCGTCGACCCTAGGCCCCGGCCCGCCCGTCGCCCCTGCTGCCCCGCGCGCTCGTCGACCCTATGCCCTGGCCCGCCCGTCTCCCCTTCTTCCCCGCGCGCCCGTCGACCCTAGGCCCAGCCCGCCCGTCGACCCTACGCCCCGGGCCCCCGTCGACCCTAGGCCCCGGCCCGCCCGTCGCCCCTTCTACCCCGCGCGCCCGTCGACCCTAGGCCCGGCCCGCCCATCGACCCTAGGCCCCGGCCCCCCGTCGACCCTAGGTCCCGGCCCGCCCGTCGCCCCTTCGGCCCCGTGCGCCCGTCGACCCTAGGCCCGGCCCGCCCGTCGACCCTAGGCCCCGGCCCGTCCGTCACCCCTGCTGCCCCGCGCGCCGCCCTATACGACCCTCCCCTAGCCCCTGCAGCCCGCGAGCCGCCCTTGCAGCCCCGCGTGCCGCCCCTCGCGGCCCTCTTGCCGCCCCTGCTGCCCTGCGCGCCGCCCCTTACGGCCCTGCGCGCCGCCCCTTGCGGCCCTCTCGCAGCCCCTGCAGCCCCGCGCGCCGCCCCTTGCGATTCGCCCGCCGCCCCTAGGCCCCCGAGCCGCCCCTCTTGCAGCCTGCGCGCCGCCACTTGCAGCCCGCTTGCCCCCCCACCCTTGCTGCTGCCTGCCCTATTCCCTGCGCTGCCAGGCTCCTGCCCGCTCTGCGTGCCGCGCCGACATGGCTTCTCTCCGCGTTCTCGCGTTCGATCATGAGGGCCGCCCGATCCAGTTTGACACGTGGCTCGACGACCTGCAGCTGTACCTACTGAGCGACTCTAGAGACAGTGTTTCATTGTTTGACCACACGTTTGGAGCCGCTCCCGCCCCTCCCACCACAGCTGACAGTGCAACTCGCTCATAGTGGCTTACTCGTGACGCTGCTGCTCGCTTAGCCATTCGCAACCACTTGCCGTTGGCCGAATGCGCTCACTTCGGACAGCACAAGAGGGCTAAAGCACTCTATGACGCTGTAGTTGCCCGTTACTCCTCCCCTGCCACGGGTGCTTTCGGCCATCTGCTACTGCCCTACCTGTTTCCCGAGCTGTCCGCCTTTGCCACAGTAGAGGACCTCATTTCCCACCTTCGCACTAGCGACGCTCGCTACCGTGCTGCCCTCCCAGCAGAGTTCCTTGACAGGAACCCGCCCCCGATGTTCATCACTCTCTACTTTATAGTCACTCGCCTCCCTGACTCTCTTCGCGCTGTCAAGGACCACTTTCTCTCACTTGACCCCACAGGCCTCACTGTTGACCTACTCAAGCAGCACCTCCTTGCAGCTGAGACTACTGTAGTCGCTGTAGGTGGTGCTCGTGGCACTCCTCGCATGCCCTTCTTTGAGGGGTGTTCCCCCTCCCCCCTTGCCCACTCCTACGCCTCTGCTGCTGCTGTTGACGTCCTTGGTGCTGAGGACGTCGGAGCTGCTTCTGCTAGTGGGAAGTGCCGCATCAGCAAGGGCAAGGGTGGCAGGGGTGGGGGTGGTGGCAGCGGGGGTGGTGGTGGGGGCAGCGGTAGAGGTGGTGGAGGCAATGGAGGTGGTAGCGGTAGTGGGAGTGGTGGCAGGAGTGGGGGCTTTGGTGGCGGTGGTGGTGGCAGGGGTGGGGGTGGCGGTAGTGGCGGCAGTGGGAGTGGTTGCAGTCGGGCTGGAGCTACTCAGCGAGGAAATTCTGGAGGTGGCCAGAGGCAGCAGCAGCAGCGTCGGAGCGAGACCCCGTCGCCCCAATAGCTTCGTGAGTGGTTTTCTCAGCGTGGGGCGTCTGGGGCTAGTAGTAGCTGCCCGTATGTCATTCGCACTGGTGACCGTGCTAGTCAGACATGCGGGAAGCCTCACACTCAGCACCGCTGCTTCTCCCACCTCGACGACGCTTGGCGAGCAGAGTTTGGTGACAAGGCCAAGCGCCCCCGCTGGGCAGAGCTGCATAGGTCTTGAGTTGCTATCTTTGACCTGGACTATGATGCTATCCTTGCTGCTATGTATGCATTGTCTGTTAGTGCTGAGGGCGACTGTTACCTATGTGTGCCGCCTGCCCCAGGTATAGAGGCTGCTGCTCTAGGTGCTAGTGAGTCTGCTCTCTCTGGTACTGCACCTGCTGAGGCTTTGCACACCTTTACGCTGGACTCAGGTGCTTTGAGCTGTTTCTTTCGTGATAGCACCACCCTCACTTCTCTCTCTGCTCCTGTCCCGGTCAGACTGGCTGACCCCTCAAGGGGCCCAAACGTTGCCCGTTCCTCCACTGTTCTCCCGTGTCCGGCGGTTCCGTCCGGCTCACTGTCAGGTCTTCACCTCCCCTCGTTCTCTACGAACTTGGTGAGTACCGCTGCCCTCCAGGATGCGATGGTTACCACCACCACTCATGGGGGTTAGCGTGTGTCGATCTGCATGTGTACACGGACGGGCCGTCACCTGGCCACGTTCACTCATCGGCCAGGGTCGAGTCTGTACACACTGGCTACTGAGCCTCCTCAGATAGCTGCGTCTGCCCAGGTGTCCACATCAAGTCCGGTAGCACCCCCTTGCTTGTGTCGCCTCCTGTCGCACCAGACTCTCGTGTGGCACCACCGCCTGGGTCACCCCTCCTTGCCACGCCTTCGTGGCATGCACTTCCGCCTCCTTGTTTCCGGTCTTCCTAGGTCTCTGCCTCCCCTCCCGCCCTCGCCTGCCCCGCCCTATCTTCCTTGTGTCGAGGGGCGGAAGCGCGCCGCTCCTCACTCCTCCTCGTTTCCCCCGATGACTGCTCCCCTGCAGAATCTCCACATGGACATGTGGGGCCCAGCCCGCGTCAGTGGTCAGGGCCACGAGCGCTACTTTCGGCTGGTTGTTGACGACTACACGCAGTACACCACGGTCTTCCCCTTGCGCAGCAAGGGTGAGGTCCCTGATGTCTTGATCCCTTGGATCCACGCAGTCCGTCTCCAGCTCCGCGAGCGGTTCCACCAGGACCTTCCTGTCCTGCGTCTGCACTCTGACAGAGGTGGTGAGTTCTCCTCCAACCTCTTGCGGGACTTTTGTCGTGGGGAGGGCATTCTCCAGTCGTTCACGCTTCCGGCCTCCCCTCAGCAAAATGGGATTGCTGAGCGCCGCATTGTCTTAGTCATGGAGGTCGCTCGTACCTCCATGATCCATGCTGCTGCTCCCCATTTTCTATGGCTGTTTGCGGTCTGGTACGCTGCGCATCAGCTCAACCTCTGGCCTTGTGTCTCCTTGCCGGAGACCTCGCCCACATTGCATTGGACGACGGAGGTTGGCGATGCGTCGGTGTTTCGGGTCTGGGGCTCTCGTGCCTTTGTTTGCGATACGTCCGCGGACAAGCTCTCCGCCCGCGCTATTCCCTGCGTCTTCCTTAGCTTTCCCCCTGACGCGCCTGGCTGGCAGTTTTACCACCCCACCTCGCGCCATGTCTTCCCCTCTCAGGATGTCAAGTTTGACAAGTCGGTTCCCTTTTACCGTCTCTTCCCCTACCGCTCTGCCCCTCCCCCGCCCCCGCCGCTCTTCCTTGCTCCCGGTCCCCTTCCTGTAGACCCCCTCCCGCCCCAGGGTCTTGCTCCCTCAGGTGTGTCTAAGGTCGACCCTCTCCCTGGTACTGTGCCTGTTGAGGTAGTTGGCGACTCAGGTGCTGCTCGAGGTGCTGCGTCTGGGGGTGCTGCGTCTGGTGGTGCGGAGCCGGGGGGTGCGAAGCCTGGGAGCGCTGAGTCTGAGGGTGCCGAGTCTGGGGGTGCTGAGCCTGGGGGTGCGGAGCCTGGGGGTGCTGAGCCTGTGGGTGTGGAGCCTGGGGGTGCTGAGTCGGAGGGTGCGGAGTCTGGGGGTGCTGAGCCTCGGGGTACTGCTTCTTCTGGAGGTCCTGCGGGTGCTTCGCCACTGCTGTCTCCCCGGCAGGAGCCTCTCTCCCCGCAGCAGCTGCGCGAGTGGTTTGCTCGCTGCACACGCATTCGGAGTGGAGCTGCCCCGGCAGGAGCCTCTGCCGCTGGAGACACTGGAGTTGGAGGTGTTGGAGCTACTCGTCTTTCTGGTGCTGGAGTAACTGCTGCAGCTGGTGGTACCGGATGTACTGCAGCCGCTGGTCATGGAGGTGCTTGTACCAGGGGTACTGGAGCTGCCGGGACTGGTAGTGTTGGGGGCACTGGAGCTGGAGGAGCTGGAGGAGCTGCAGATGGAGACCCTGCAGAGCCTGGAGGTGCTGGGGTTGGAGGCAGTAGAGCTGGAGGTACTGGCACTAGTTGCGCTGGAGCTGGAGGAGCTGGAGGTGGAGGCACTGGAGCTGGAGACGCTGGGGCTGTTGACCCTGGAGCTGGAGGTGCTGTGTCTTGCGGTACTGGTGCTGGAGGCACTGTGCGGCCGCGACCGTACTTCGTTCCCCTGCTTCAACAGTGTTATATGTTATAGTCACAATAGGCTTGAATGTGCCTAAAACGAAAGATAGAGAGCACAGACGGATTTCTGCACAGCGGCTTCAAACGTTGATAGCGTTCTGCTCACAGCTGCAAATGACTTGATTCAAATTGGATCTGGAGCGTCTTCACGTCGTCTACAATTAGCAATTTAGATTGCACGATTTGATAAAGAATTGACGACACAGCGTCGGTTTGAACGAACGGTACTATGGCAGCCACTATAGTCTTAGAACACAAGATAGGAAGAGTTACGAGTTGGGAATGACTCCCAGCTCCTACAAACCCCAAGAGCCGAGGTACAGTGATGTGGAACAGTGCCACACTGTCCCCAACCACGAAGGGTCTCGAAACTACCCTTCACTAGGGCCTACACCAAGTGAAATGTTACACTACACAAAGTAATGTAACTATCTTCAATATCTTGAGGTGTACCCTTTTGGCAAGCTTCGAAATCACTTGAGGCTTGACACCAAGGCTCGGGCTCTTCATCACAAACTCATCCTTGAGTTCTTGATGGGTCTGCTGCACACACCTGCGACACGCCGAACGTTCGACACAGGACAAAATAGAAACCGCGCACGACAAAATAGAAACCGCGCGCGAGACACAAACGACCGCGTAACACGCGTCTAGCGATAACTCGCTATTGACTCGACACACACACTCGACATCATGACTCAACATTCACACACAATTATAAGCATGAAATATATATTATCCCATGCCCTCATACCATTCCATACACACACACATTCACGCACACGGACAACAAGCCGAGTGCAAACCGTAGGGTTGCACCAACATTATAGTCACAATAGGCTTGAATGTGCCTAAAACGAAAGATAGAGTGCACAGACGGATTTCTGCACTACTGCTTCAAACGTTTATAGCGTTCTGGTCACAGCTTGAAATGACCTGATTCAACTTGGATCTGGAGCGTATTCACGTCGCCTACAATAAGCAATTTAGATTGCACGATTTTATAACGAATTGACGACACAGCGTCAGTTTGAACGAACGGTACTATGGCAGCCACTATAGTCTTAGAACACAAGATAGGAAGGGTTACGATTTGGGTATGACTCCCAGCTCCTACAAACCCCAAGAGCCGAGGTACAGTGATGTGGAACAGTGCCACACTGTCCCCAACCACGAAGGGTCTCGAAACTACCCTCCACAAGGGCCTACACCAAGAGGAATGTTACACTACACAAAGTAATGTAACTATTTTCACTATCTTGAAGTTTACGCTTTTGGATAGCTTCGAAATCACTTGAATCTAGAAACCAAGGCTCTGGTTCTTCAAGATAAATTCTTCCTTGAGTTCTCGGAAGTCTGCTGCACACACCTGCGACACGCAGAACGTTCCACACAGGACAAAATAGAAAAACGCACACGACACGCAAACGACGACATGACATGCGACTAGCGAATACTCGCTATTGACTCGACACACACATTCAAATCCATGCTTCATCATTCACACACTATTGTACGCATGAAATATATATTATCTCATGCCCTCATACCATTCCATGCACACACGCATGCACGCACACGAACAACAAGCCGAATGCAAACCGTAGGGTTGCACCAACAAACAGGTTCTTGGTCTTCCGTCTTCTACTTGCCTTACTCCTCCCTTACAGTGTCCACTGCCTGACAAGTCACAGCTGCCGTTACCGCTAGCCTCCCCACTGCCTGCCCCTTCTCCTTACACTGAGCAGACCGGAGGTCTTAGAGAGCGTCGTGAGCCTGCGTCTCGTCCTGTCTCGCCTGTTCGCACTTCTCGTCGCGTTCCTCGTCCGCGTCATCCTCCTGTCCCCGGCACCCATGCTATTGCACTTCGTCCTTCCTCTGTTCTGCTGCGTGTTCCTCTGCCTGCTCCTCCAGAGTCCTCTCTTCCTGCCGTCCCTGACCCTGAGTATGACCTCGCTCGTGCTGCCAGTCCCACTGTCTCTTCTCTCCTTGCCACTGTTGTCACTGACCCTGCTTTTGAGTCCACTGCTGCGTCTGCCCTCGTTGCTGAGCTTCTTGACTTTGCTGCTACCTGTCGTCTCGACTACGCCACTTCTCTTGTTGCTGAGTCTGAGTCTGCCAGTCCTCCGTCCGTCAGGGGTGAGTGTGCTCTTGGCACGGACGTCCTTGAGGACAGGCAGGAGGACTTTGAGTGTTTTGCAGCTGCTGTACCTCGTTTCGCTTCCATGCTGCTTGCCCCTAAGGGAGGCCCGGATGCACCAGACATCCCGACCCCGCGCTCTTACGCAGAGGCGATTACGGGTCCTTACTCCTCTCAGTGGCAGACAGCCTTGGATGCCGAGATGGCATCCTGGAAGTCCACAGGCACCTACGTCGACGCAATTCCCTCGTCTAGGACGAACATAGTCGATGGCATGTGGATTTTCAGGGTGAAGCGGCCGCCGGGTTCTCCGCCTACCTTCAAGGCGCATTACGTTGCTAGAGGCTTCAGTCAGCGACAGGGGGTCGACTACTTCCAGACCTTCTCCCCCACCCCGAAGATGACTACTCTTTGAGTGTTGTTGCACGTTGCTGCTCAGCGTGACTACGAGTTGCACTCGCTGGACTTCAGTACAGCTTTCTTGCAAGGCAGCCTGCACGAGGAGATCTGGCTGCGCCGCCCACCTGGCTTCACTGGGTCATTTCCTGCAGGTACCCAGTGGAGCCTCCGGTGGCCAATCTACGATCTCCGCCAGGCACCTCGCGAGTGGCACGACACACTGAGGACTACACTTGCAACCCTGGGGCTTACTCCTTTGACTGTTGATCCGTCGCTGTTTCTACGCACTAACACGTTGCTGCCGCCATTCTACGTCCTCGTCTACGTCGACGACCTGGTCTTTGCCACTGCTGACACTGAGGCACTAACCCTTGTCAGAGCTGCAGAAGAGACAAACCTGCACTGACCTGGGTGAACTGCGCAACCATCTTGGCTTGCAGATCACCCGGGACAGAGCACGGTGCACCATCACCCTGACTCAGTCACACATGGTGCACCAGGTCCTTCAGCGCTTCGGCTTTTAGTTCTCCTCGCCACAGCCCACTCCTCTGTCTACCGGCCACTCTCTCTCAGCTCCACCTTCGGACGAGTCCGTAGAGCCGAGTGGTCCGTACCCAGAGCTTGTGGGTTGCCTCATGTACCTGATGACGTGCACACGACCTGACCTTGCGTACCGTGTCAGCCTCCTGGCTCGCTACGTGGCTCCCGGTAGGCACCGAAAGGTGCACTGGGATGCTGCGAAGAGGGTACTGCGTTACTTGTGCAGTACGTCGGGCATGGGGCTCGTGCTTGGAGGACGGGGTCCGGTTGTCCTCACTGGTCACGCAGACACGTCTTGGGTTGTCGACTCAGCTACGCAGCGGTCGTCACAGGGTTACACCTTCAGCCTCGGTTCCAGCTCTTTTTCCTGGCGGTCTACCCGCTCGTCTTCTGTTATCAGTTCCAGTTGTGAGGCTGAGATCTACGCAGGGGCCATGGCTGCACAGGAGCTACGCTGGCTCACCTACCTGCTGACTGACTTGGGAGAGCAGCCTCATTCGCCTCCAGTTCTGTACGTAGACAACAAGGCCATGATTGCCTTGTGTCAGGAGCACAGACTAGAGCACCGAACGAAGCACATCGCTCTGCGATACTTTCTTGCTTGAGAGTTGCTGCAGTGTGGCCAGCTTCGTCTTGCGTACGTGGCCTCTAGGGCCAACACTGCTGATATATTCACCAAGGCACTTCCGCCTTTGATCATCAGCGCTTCTCTACTCTTTTAGGCCTTGTTCCTACTTTGCCTCACTTGCTCACTGCGTGACTTTGCTTGTACTGTGATCTATATATATACTTGCATGCTTACTCTTGCTAGGCTATGGTCACTGTACTGTTTGTGCTCTTTTTATAACATTGCATGTGAACTCTCCTTGTGGCCCTTTGCTTGTGCTCTGACTGTGTGGTGACTTTGTGATCCACCCTGAGCTTGCTTTGCTTTTCTTGACTGGTCTTGTGACCACTTGTTCTCCCCCACTTTGCCTATGGGGGTGTGTCAAAATGTTATAGTGCTTACTTTGTGTAGGCTATAGTGGGGTAGCCCATAAGGGGTACAACCCAATTATGGTTAGTACTTGTACCCAACCTTCTGCTCAATTCAATCATTCTCGTTCATTCGTTTAATAGCAATTGCACCGAAGCCCAGGGTGTTGTTCCGTGGTGAATGGTGTTACGATATGGTTTTACGGGATCTCTCTGTACTGCACTATTCGAAGTGCAGCAGCGAAGATCTCCATCTTGAGGGTGTTGACTCAAGTATCGAGCTGCAGGGGCGCAACCACACAGAGTGGTTGCGACCCGCGTGGCAGCTGAAGAGTCGGATTCTACAGGCAGCCGCGTGTATTGTACGCGAAACCGCCCTACAAGGCGCGGCAGAATACCGCGCCCTTGTCGAAGCTGAACAGTCTCGCCATGGCGACTGTAACAGGGCAACCGAAGCGACGCAGCGCAACTGTTATACAGTTGTGCCTTGGTAACTGCCTGCCTGCTATATTCCCTATATAAATGAATATATTGCATTGTTATTAACACACAATTCTGCACCTTGTGACCGGCTTTCCCTCGGCCGCCGCAGTGGCACCACGTGCCAGGCCAGAAGTGCTAACTCTGAGTGACCATTGCCCCGCCGTAGGGACGTCGTTATTATAGCGGGCTCTAGGATAATAACAACACACCACGGCACACTATGGCCCACACAGGATGGGGGAGGGGATGGGAGAGAAGCAACAGTGGGAAGGTCGGTAGATGTAACATGGTGCGAAGGGTGACATGATGATGTGGGGCGGAATCAGAGCAGATGACGCCATGGGGGTATACAGTGAGGCATGCCTCACCAGCGCCATGCCTCTCACCAGCGCCATGCCTCTCGCCAGCGCCATGCCTCTCACCAGCACCATGCCTCTCACCAGCGCCATGCCTCTCACCAGTGCCATGCCTCTCACCAGTGCCATGCCTCTAACCAGTGCCATGCCTCTCACCAGTGCCATGCATCTCACCAGTGCCATGCCTCTCACCAGTGCCATGCCTCTCACCAGCGCCATGCCTCTCACCAGCGCCATGCCTCTCACCAGCACCATGCCTCTCACCAGCGCCATGCCTCTCACCAGCGCCATGTCTCTCACCAGCGCCATGCTTCTCACCAGTGCCATGCCTCTCACCAGCGCCATGTCTCTCACCAGCGCCATGCCTCTCACCAGTGCCATGCCTCTCACCAGTGCCATGCCTCTCACCAGCGCCATGCCTCTCACCAACACCATGCCTCTGATCAGCAACATGGCGCCTGAGACCCCCACAACCCAGACGACAGTCCACACGAGGCTGAGGCTGAGACGGTCCCAGATGACCGACGGTAGCGTGTTCATCACGTGCACCGCGTGCTTCAGAATCATGGCTGAGAACGGGATCCTGCACGCACCGAGGGGAGGAGGGAGGCACCACAACGGTCACACATGGGTTAGGCCGGCCTGGACAGCACGGGCAAATAGAGATGCTGCTGATTTGAGACGGCAGTGAGAGTGGACGAGTGGTGCATGCGCACAAGTGCGTGCATGTGAGGGGGCTAGGGAGTGAGTGAGAGAGTGGAGGAAGAAGAGCAGGTTGTGCGCCTCTGAGAGCAACGCAGTGCAAGTGATGCATGCATCCGCGAGTGCGGGGAAGGTGGCATGTGCTGCACGAGCACGGTACAGCACGGGTGGGACTGCAGGTTGCGCGAGAACGGTGCATGCCCAGGGCGTAGAGCAGGAACACCGGGTTTGGACGGAGGAGAGGGGATGGCGGAATTAGGGGGAAGCAAGGAGGGGGGGGGGGGGGGGGGGGGGGTTGGCAGCGACCATGGGGTATGACGGTGCCCGGGGGAAGCGGAGGGGGAAGGGGGGAAGCAAGAGATGGGTTAACAAAGGAAGCATGGTGGGGAGGCATGCCAAGACACCATACACATCCCATGCATGGTGTCAAGAAGGCATGCTACCTCTTCTTCCTCTCTTGTTCCCTGTAAAAACTCACACCCATCCCATGTCCAACCTCGCTCACCCATCCCTCCCCGTCCCCACCTCCCCCTCCCGATTCCCATTTCCCCTTTACCCCCGGTCTCATGTCCCCAGATCCCCACTTGCCTCCACTCACGGCCATCAGCGTCAATGGTAAGCCCACGAGTGAGTCAAAGGGGTTGCCCTTGCGGCCAACCCTTCACTCGCAGTCCCCTTACCCCCCCCCCAACCCCACTTTCATTTTACCCTCCTCTCACCCCCCCTCCAATCATGACCGTCACTGTCAGTGGCAGAATCAACGAGCAAACCCAAGCGGTAGCCCTTGCTCCTCTCTCTTTCCTCCTCGTGCCCACGCAGCCCCACCTCCCTTCTAGGCTCCCTCTAATTCCTCCTCAACCCCCCCTCCCCCCTCCCTACCTTGACGCACGGTCGTCAGCATCGGTGGTAGAGTCAACAAGCGACCCAAAGGGGTAGCCCTTGCAACCACCCCTTAACTTACATCCTCCCTTCCCCTATCCCCAGTTGGAATGAGAGGAATGGCAAGGGGTGTGAGACCAGGCCATTTGAAGCAAGCGGGGCATGATGGAGCAGAGCCAGGCTGCGTACTGCGCTGCCTCCACCAGGTTTCTCCCTGCTACTACCGGCGCGGGCAGCCCCTGGGCGCTGGTGGCGCTCCCCACCCCGTATCACACTCGCGAGCGCAACAGACCCCAGCGAGTGGCGGAACTGGGGAGAGCGGGAAAGGGTGAGAGAGGGGAACAGTGAGAGGGGGGGAGGATGAGATGGGTGAAGGGTGCAGGGAAAGAACTCTGGCAATACAAACGGACAGCCTGTGGGATGCTTGTGGGGAAGGAAGAAGGGCGGAGGGGAGCGGAGGAAGGGGAAGGCTAAGTCACACGCCCGCCCTCCCTGCACCACTGCCACTCACCCGCAACCCCCTTCCCATTGCCACTCACCCGCCCCCTGCCCCCGCAGCGCTGCCATAGTGTCACTCACCCGCCGCCGCCCCCAAAACACCGCCACTCTCCTGCCTTCCCTGCATCACTGCCATTCACCCGCCCTCCCCGCGCCATCGCCACTAACCTGCCCTCACTGCACCATCGCCCATAGCGGTCACCAGCGGCGATGCCCACCTCGCCCGTGCCCCCTACAGCACCTGCGCGCCACACCCTCCGCCTGCGGGGAGAGCGTGCTGCGCTTGGCGTGTCAGAATAATGAACGAGAATGAATGAACTAAGAAAGAGTTGGGTACAAGTACTAACCCTAATTGGGTTGTACCCCTTTCTTAGTACTATAGCCTACACAAATGTAAGCACCATAATATTCTGACACACCCCCATAGGCAAAGTGGGGGAGAACAAGTGGTCACAAGACCAGTCAAGAAAAGCAAAGCAAGCTCAGGGTGGATCACAAAGTCACCACACAGTCCGAGCACAAGCAAAGGGCCACAAGGCCAGTTCACATGTAGAGTTATATAAAGAGAACAAACAATACAGTGATCATACCCTTGCAAGTGTAAGCATGCAGGTAGATATAGATAGATCAAGTACAAGCGAGTCAATCAGTAAGCAAGTGAGGCAAAGTAGGCACAAGGCCTAACACAGTAGAGAAGCACTGATGATCACCAGGTGGAAGTGCCTTGGTGAATATATCAGCAGTGTTGGCCCAAGTGGCCACGTACGCAAGACGAAGCTGGCCACGCTGCTGCAACTCTCGAGCAAGGAAGTATCGCAGAGCGATGTGCTTCGTTCGGTGCTCCAGTCTGTGCTCCTGACACAAGGTGATCATGGCCTTGTTGTCTACGTACAGAACTGGAGGCGAGCGAGGCTGCTCTCCCAAGTCAGTCAGCAAGTAGGTGAGCCAGCGTAGCTCCTGTGCAGCCATGGCCCCGGCGTAGATCTCAGCCTCACAACTGGAGCTGAGAACCAAAGACGAGCGGGTAGGCCGCCAGGAAATAGAGCCGGAGCCAAGGCTGAAAGTGTAACCCTGTGACAACCGCTGCGTAGCTGAGTCGTCAACCCAAGAAGCGTCTGCGTGACCGGTGAGGACAACTAGACCCCGTCCTCCAAGCACGAGCCCCATGCCCGACGTACTGCAAAAGTAACACAATACCCTCTTCGCAGCATCCTAGTGCACCTTTCGGTGCCTACCAGGAGCCACGTAGCGAGCCAGGAGGCTAAGAGGGTACGCGGGGTCAGGTCGTGTGCACGTCATCAGGTACATGAGGCAACCCACAAGCTCTGGGTACGGACCACTCGGCTCTACAGACTCGTTTGAAGGTGGAGCTGAGAGCGAGTGGCTGGTAGACAGAGGAGTGGGCTGTGGCAAGGAGAACTGGAAGCCGAAGCGCTGAAAGACCTGGTGCACCATGTGTGACTGAGTCAGGGTGATGGTGCGCCGTGCTCTGTCCCGGGTGATCTGCAAGCCAAGATAGCTGCGCAGTTCACCCAAGTCAGTGCATGTGTGTCTCTTCTGCAGCTCCAATTTCACAAGGGTCAGTGCCTTAGTGCCAGCAGTGGCAAAGACCAGGTCGTCGACGTAGACGAGGACGTAGAATGGCGGCGGCGAGGTGTCGGTGCGTAGAAACAGCGACGGGTCAGTAGTAGAAGGAGCAAACCCAAGAGCCGCAAGCGTAGTCCTCAGTGTGTCGTGCCACTCGCGAGGCGCCTGGCGGAGACCGTAGATTGGCCGCCGGAGGCTCCACTAGGTACCTGCAGGAAACGACCCAGTGAAGCCAGGTGGGCTGTGCAGCCAGATCTCCTCGTGCAGGCTGCTCAAGAGAAAACCTGTGCTGAAGTCCAGGGAATGCAGCTCGTAGTCACGCTGTGCTGCGACGTGCAGCAACACCCGATGAGTGGTCATCTTCGGGGTAGGGGAGAAGGTCTGGAAGAAGTCAACTCCCTGTCGCTGGCTGAAGCCTCGTGCAACGTAACGAGCCTTGAAGGCAGGCAGAGAACCCGGTGACCGCATCACTCTGAAAATCCACATGCTATCGACTATGTTCGCCCGAGACGGGGGAACTGCGTTGACGTAGGTGCCTGTAGACTTCCAGGATGCCATATCGGCATCCATAGCTGCCTGCCACTGAGAGGAGTAAGGATCTGTAATCGCCTCTGCGTAAGAGCGCGGGGTCGGGATGTCTGGTGCATCCGGGTCTCCCTCAGGGGCAAGCAGCATGGAAGCGGAACGAGGTACAGCAGCTGCAAGACACTCAAAGTCCTCCTGCCTGTCCTCAAGGACGTCCGTGCCAAGAGCACACTCACCCCCGACGGATGGAGGACTGGCAGACTCAAACTCAGCAACAAGAGCAGTGGCGTAGTCGAGACGACAGGCAGCAGCAAAGTCAAGTAGCTCAGCAACCAGGGAAGACGCAGCAGCAGACTCAAAAGAAGGGTCAGTGACAACAGTGGCGAGGAGACGAGAGACAGTGGGACTGGCAGCACGCACACGGTCCAACTCCGGGTCAGGGACGGCACGAAGAGAGGACTCAAGAGGCGGCGGCAAAGGAACACGCAGTGGAACAGAGGAAGGACGAATTGCCATAGCATGCGTGCCGGGGACAGGAGGAGGACGCGAACGAGGAACGCGACGGGCAGTGCGAACAAGCGAGACAGGACGAGACGCAGACTTACGACGCTCGGTAAGACCACCGGTCTGCTCAGTGTAAGGAGAGGGTGCAGACAGTGGGGAAGCTAGCTGTAACAATGGCTGAGACTGGTCAGGCGGTGGACACAGTAGGGGAGGAGTAAGGCCGGTAGAAGACGGGACACCAAGAACCTGCTGAAGCAGGGGAACGAAGTAAGGTGACGGCTGCACAGTGCCTCCAGCACCAGTACCACCAGCTCCAGGGTCAACAGCTCCAGCTCCTCCAGCTCCAGCGCCACAAGCACCAGTGCCTCCAGCTCCAGCTCCTCCAGCTCCACTGCCTCCCGCGCTAGTGCCACAAGCTCTAGCCCCTCCAGCTACAGCAGCTCCAGGCTCCGTAGGGTCTCCAGCTCCAGCGCCCCCAACACCACCAGTCCCGGCAGCTCCAGTACCACTGGTACGAGCACCTCCAGGACCAGCAGCCGCAATACCACCAGCTCCAGCAGTAACTCCAGCACCTCGAGCTCTAGTGTCTCCAGTGCCTCCAGCTCTGGTAGCTCCACTCCAAAGGCGTTCGCGCCAAACAAGCCACTCACGCAGCTGCTGCAGGGAGAGATTCTCCAGCCGCAGAGAAAGTCTCGGCAAAGAACCAGTAGGACCTCCAGACAAAGCAGCACCCCCAGGCTCAGTACCCCCAGACTCCGCACCCTCAGACTAAGCACCCCCAGGCTCTACACCCTCAGGCTCAGCACCCCCAGGCTCCAGACCCACAAGCTCAGCACCCCCACGCTCCGCACCCCCAGGCTCAGCACCCCCAGACCCAGCACCCTTAGACTCAGCGCCCCCAGGCTCCGCACCCCCAGGCTCTGCACCCCCACACGCAGCACCTTGAGCAGCACCTGAGTCGCCAGCTACCTCAACAGGCACAGTACAAGAGAGAGGGTCTACCTGAGACACACCTGAAGAAGCAGGACCCTAGGGCGGGATGGGGTCTACCGGAGGGGGACCAGGAGCAAGAAAGAGCGGCGGGGGCAGGGGAGGGGCAGAGCGGTAGGGGAAGAGACG